ATAACAAATGCGCGCAGCAATATTAAACACGAATTTGTTAAAAATCTGCACACATTCGAGATTGTACAAAAAACGACAGTCAGGTCTAACACACAAAAAACACCAGTACCTTAAAAAATTTGTAATATGAACTCAAAAAAGCAACAACTACTTCGAACAAATCAAAAGTCATCCAATCGTTTTGCAGAAGTGCACTTGAGGGTGAATGAAAAGCGAATACATTTTTATTTTTGGGAGAACTATCTCTTTAAGTATTTATATTTATAACATTGGGCAGCAGTGGTTAGCACCATCACCTCGCAGCAAAAAGGCTGGGCCAGTTGGCATTTCTGTGTGGAGTTTGCATGTTCCCCCTGTGTCTCTGGGTGCTTCGGTTTCCCCCACTGTCCAAAGACATGCGCTGAAGGTGAATTGAATAATCAAAAATTGGCTGTAATGTATTTGTGTGAATGTGAGAGTGTATCTATGGGTGTTTCCCAGAACTGGGTTGCAGCCGGAAAGGCATCTGCTGTGCAAAACATATGCTGGGTAAGTTGGCGGTTCATTCCACTGTGGCGACCCTTGAATGAATGAATTCATAACACTTGATCAGGCTATCTACACATCTTACTCAAGTGCTTGATTTGTATGCTTCATCCACCCCTGTTTGTGTGTGTGTGTGTATTGTAACTGTGATTATGTGTGAGTGCCTGTGTGTGTGTATATATAACTGTGTGTGGTTGGCAAGAGGGAATGTTTCTGACTGCCAGTAAGCCACTGCACGGGTGACAGAGGCGGATTGGCATGGTGACGTGTTTATGACAGACGGCCAGATTTGCGCGAACAGGCTGTTAGTGTAGCTGTAAACCAAACACAGACAAGCTGACTGCTGTATAAACACAGAGAAGAAAGATAAGAAAGATTAACGATAAATAAATATCTAGAGAGAGACACACACACATGCATCTCCATTAGTTCAGAGCATGTTTTATGCAATGCACCACCATGTAACCAATGGCTGGATGTGTTCCTTAGGTAGGTCACATGCATCTATTCCATGTGGTCTTTCTGTCGACCCCTTTCACCGTCCTGCACTGAGAGTCTCTATAGGTATGTTCGGAATAGCAAAGTGCTTTCACTGTTTTTGCATCATCTGCGGACACTGTGAGGACTTTCCGTATGCATGGGAGACTGGAATGACCTGCAGCGTTATAACATAACATGTGGCACACACAGCCTGACTGCATTGATTTGGATGCATTGCAAGATTCAATGTGCATGGCTTGACCTTTTATGTAAATGCAAATCAGACATTTATAGCCATTAATGATATTAACAATGATTTTGTTCTATCTGATTTTTTTTATGTATCTATTTATTATTTGTTTGTTTGTAATCAGGCTGTCAAACATAATAACACGTTACAAAATTAAATTTTTATTTTAAAAATAAGTTATTATTCTCTTTATCCCAGACATTAGGTACAATAGTACAAAAGACAGACAAAACAATGCAAACCACACAAAATACATTAAAAAGATAGCTATGCCAATATTTCATCAAAGGTGGCTGATATCACACCTTATTAAGCCTAGGATCGATCAACAACATTAAAATGTTATTCGGAGAATACTACAATAGACTGATAAACTTATAGATCAAATTTCTCATCAAAGCAAAAGATGATCGAACTGTTACTCTACAGAATAATTCACTTGCACTGCACCATCTATGTTTTTGTAAGAAGAATCCTCATCATTGTATGCAACTTGCAGCTTATGGACACTCTTTTTTATTTTTATTATACCACTGTGTATAAAGAACTGCAATATATTCTAGGTTTACCTTAACCTGCTTTGAACACAAATAAAACTTTTCTCACCAAAATATTTGCTTGAGCATTTAACTTTTGACAAAAATTAGTTAAATAATTCAATTTAAAAAAAATCGGTTGATAAATTAATGAGCATTAAAATGAATTATTTTCCCTTTAAAACACACTTTTTTATTATAATATAATATAATATAAAATATTAATAATTCAGCAATGTAATTTAATAGAAAAAATACTAATAATGTATTATATTAAATCAGCACTAATTTATGGAAATAAAAAAAATATATAATTTTAAAAATTTGTAGCAGCATGTTTTATTTTGCCATATTTGTGTTTAAATTAAACAATAGGGAAAAGACCAAAATTAAAAATTAAATTAAATTACATTAAATTAAATGTAATTATTTATTAAATTTTTTATTACATTATTTCATCATATTGTTTTTTTTCATTTATTGTATTTTATTTCTTATTTTACTATTTATTTATTTATTTATTTATTTTAATATATTTATAGTGTTTTATTATATTTTTTTATTTAATTTAATTTTAATGTAGTTACATGTTTTTTACAAAAATAATTAATGTTTGTCAAAGGTTTTTACCTTTTATGTAGTCAAATAAAGAAAAAAAATTATTACCAATCAGTAAACATTTTTTTAAGTATAATTATTTTATGTTTATTCATAAAAATTGACCATAAAATTTGGTAAATGTTTAAAATAACCTAAAATATTATATTATAATATAACAATTAATTCAAAATGATTAATTTGAAGTTTCATACTGTTTTCTTATTCTGAAATAAATCTGCAAAGGGAAACACACAAGCTGGATTTGAATTCATGCCCACATTGAACACATGCAATAACCACTAAGCCATGTCCAAGACCCCATACCAAAGAAAATGTTACCTGTAGCATCACGTACGTTACAATTGCATTCCACAAAAGCCTCTTTGGAACATCGTATTACTTTCTAATGCATCTCATGAAGGTTGCACCAGGATCTGTGAGGATATGGAGGCTTAGAAAAGGCTTTAGACAGAGATCTGATTTGATTTGATATGTTGTGTGGGGACTGCTTTTTTTGGGGGGGGAGAGTTTTATTCATATCACTCTGTTATAAAATGTGCTTTTCATCAAAGAGAGCACATGCAGAGACAAGCATGGACTGAATCATCAATGAGGAATTATTGCATTTAATCTTCTGCAACATGTTGTATCTATTTATCATGAGCGCATAATGTGGGTTCTTTTTAAACCAAGATTCCTCTCATCAATATTCACATATCTTTTGCTTTTATCATCAATCTCTCACTTTCCTTTTGACAGATATAATAAAAGGATTGTGGTAAGACCAGCTGGAGCTCCATTTTATTAGTTGCTGTCTGTGTATAACTTATACCTTGTACCACCATCAAGCCCAACAGATGTCTTTGTCCAAATAATGAATGAATATTTCACTCTATTGGTTGCTGCTGAGGCTAAATGGATGAATAAGCCTCTTTTAACTCCAAAAGCGTAGATACACATTCAATTTGCTTCACTTTTCAGCTGAAATGAACACTAGATGTAGTACAACAACACCACTTTCGGTTGTTTATGTGCAAATTGTTAACTCGTATGCAGATGAACAACTACCACCATTTGCACTTCAAAATAATTTACCAAAGTGTGTGATTTACAAATGAATACATTTTAAAGGTTATCAAGACATGTATGTTAATGTTATTAATATAGGTGGGCATAGATAACTTTTGCAAATCTAGATTAATCTAAATTAAAATGGCCCATTTGAATTCTGCTGAAGGCATTCAGAATATGTGTGCTACCCAAATAATAGGTCTTTGAGAATGGGTTTCTCAAGCCAGGTGGCGCATTAGACCAGGGGCTTATCTCCTGTTTCCAAAATGCATCATAAACTGCTTGAGAAATTATTCTACTATGATAATTGGTGAAGAAAATAAATGATGTTCAATAAGATGTACTTGTGTTTACTAACTGTTTTTTCTGTTAAACATGAATTTTGAACTGTAGGCCTACATAAGCTCTAAACAGCGATTTTTGATTACCTTAATCCGACTAAAGTCATAACTGAACTAAACAGAAATGGAATTAAAACATGTGGAGTATGCATTAGTGACATTATTGAAGTAAACAACGCGATCAAACTACCGTCATGCAGGACTTTTCGCCATATTTTTCGACAAGATCCACACACGCGGGTGTCAGTAAAGGACTGTATACATACAAACACATACACACATATGGCGAAATAGGGAAGTTTTTTTTTTTTTTTCATTTGGCATGCGTTGCAAAAGACGAGGACAAAAGCAGCATATTTAGCATAGGTTAGATTGTATCAATAGTTTTGGTGTGGTTATAACGGAAACTGATAGCATGATAAAGGTGCACTCAAATTACGTCATCGTAAACAATGAAAGCACACATGGTCCAAAAGAAATGCAGATTTCTTTGACCAACGTAAATGTCATGTTATTATTTTAACAAATTTCTCAGAGGCATCATTTACATTATTTTAAGACATACTGTACATGTGTTGATACCCAGGATTCCATTAACATTTGCATTATATATATTTTCCAGCCTAATTTCACAAGGGAACATAACATAACTATTTTAAGTATTGTAGAAAAGTGTCTAATAATAAAAGTGTAAATTATAGTGTATGTGATGTTTCAGATCCAAATACCACACAAATACTGTTTTATAACTGTTTGAAACTGCCCCTTTTAGGCTTTAGGACTGTCGCTTTAAATTTAAATGATATTAAGACCCATCCCTCTTTACAAAAGAGGGTGGAGCTACAAATGCCTATGCATCAGCATAGTGAAAGATTCAAAAACAAGACTAAAGTCTTATGCTAATGAGGGAGAGATCTTCACTAATGGGCGGGGTTTTCCCCCTCTGATAACATGTACAATGGAAAAATGCTAATAAAAATTTTTCTGCAGACTGTTTTTATACAAATGTGAGTATAAAAAAAAAATTAATACATTTTCATCATTACAAGCTGGTTATATTCAAAGATTGAATATAACCACACAATTGTGTTTAAACTACTTATAAAAGTGATTTTTGCATGTTAGGTCCCCTTTAAACCATCTCACCTGGTCTAATGTTTATGACTTGCATAATTATTTGAGTGTTTTTTCTTTCAGAGCTTGCAGAATAAAATGACCACTTCATGAGGGCTGAGAGATGATCATGAACGGCCGCTGGTCCTTCAACACCCTGGCCATCATCTTTATCCTGCTGTCCACTGCAGGTAAGACCACACAGACGCCATTAAACCCTTGATGTGAGCCTAATTCCAATATATTTCACAATAGAATGATCAAAACCCACTCTCGCACGCACACAGTCTCAGTCAGACACGTGCCCTCAAGAGTCATGGCTTGGACTCGAGGCAGATTGAGTCACAACTTTAAGGATCTGACTTGGCAAAATCTCTAATTCAACTTTGACTTGCTCACAGTTACTCGTGAGCGCATTTGGATTGATCTCTCAACATGAGTCATGGAAGACTGAACATTGGCTTACATGTTGTTTCTGTCGTACAGGCAAAGTGTGCAGTGGTTTGTTAGACAAGGACACACGTGGAGGGAAAAATAATATCGGTGATGTCAGTGAAAGCGACTCATGGGCCATCCTGTATGCACAAATTGAGTTGCAAATGTAACACTGTAGCAGTTCCAAAAAGCAATTGCCATTTGCCATCTGGTAATGGACAAAAAAAATCAGCTACTTTTGTTTTATACGCAATTTCAACACAGCACTTTAGTTTTTAATGGTAAATTGGTGTAAGGTGTAAGAACGGTCTTTAAACCACAGCGGTTCGAACTGTAGTTCTGCCGAGCGACTATAAAGTAATCAGCATGATGGTAAAAAACTGAACATTTCTAGTCAAACCATTGTTCTGCAATCTCATACCAAAAACGGAAATAAGGGCAGTATTAATAGCTAAAAATGTGGGAGAGCGTTGATATTATGTGATTGTATTGTATTGCTATATGGAACAATTAAGTGTTGATGTTAAATCAAAAGTAATTCACAAATACTTGAAAATGAAATGATTTAATGACAATAATTCTCTATGGTTACAACTGAATTAATAACAAAACACTGTATAAAATGATAAAATATGAAATGATAAAACATATGGTATAAATTGTACCCAGCTTAAATGTAAAATTAAAGTTACCAGAGGTAGAAGGAGAGACACAGGGAGAGGGAGACAAAGAGAGCAGGCCCAAAAGCCTGATTGCAGTAGAGTCAGAGAAGATAGACTCCAGAGGAGGAGAGGAGCAGAGCAGGAGAGAAACAGACCAGAAAAAGAGAGGGCAGGAAAAGAGACAGAGTTCGAGTTTATCACCTATCTTGTATCTTTCTTGACCATGTGACTGAAGCCATTCAAGACATTCAAACTGACCAATCAACATGTGACCACACCATAAAACCCCCAAAATCCACACAACAGGCCCTGATCTTATCAGTATCTGCCTTTGTAGTCAGTATGGACCTTCTTGAGTCAAAAAGCATGTTTTGTCATATAAACAAATGCATATGATAATTTAGAGGGTACTGTGACCCGCTTTTTACATTAATGTAATTTTTGCATGTTCAGTTATTAGTTAATAATAACTAAATTAATCACACAACAAGACATGTATATACATATAAATGTGTCTGTTTTGATGCCACACAACAAAATCTGTGGACTAAAAGCAATCATAATTCAAAAATCTCTGAATAAAACTCTGAAAGAAATGTATTTAGCTTTTTGTAAATTTATATTTTGTGGATTTATAAAATGATTAGCCCTCCGGTGAAATAGAATATTTAATTCTTTTTAAACATTTCCCTATTTTCCTAAGGATATTTTCACAGTATTTTATATTACATCTATATTTATATTTATATCTATATCTGTATTTATATTTATCTGTGTGTGTGTGTGTGTGTGTGTGTGTGTGTGTGTGTGTGTGTATATATATATATATATATATATATATATATATATATATATATATATATATTCTTTCCTAGTTGTTTTACTTTGGCTCGAATCGAGTAAAAAAAAAAATTATATAATTAAGGTCAATAATATTCAGCAGCATCGAATGTTCTCACTCGATTGAATGGGTGTTATCAGTGGTTATCAGCTGACAAATATGGGCCAGTAGGGGCCTTCTGTGCCTACTGGTAGGCTCAGAAGGCTGTTTTCATCTATCCAAGTTTAATCAGCTATAGATCACATATGGCTGCGGTCTGAAGTTCATTCATTCAATCATTCAATCATTTTCTTGTCGGCTTAGTCCCTTTATTAATCGGGGTCACCACAGCCGAATGAACCGCCAACTTAAACCGGAGCACCCGGAGGAAACCCACGCGAACGCAGGGAGAACATGCAAACTCCACACTTAAACACCAACTGATTATTATTATTATTAATATATTATTCATGTCTAACCTGTAAAAACAGATCTGGATCTGGAGTCTTCTGTTAGTATATTAACCATTTACACCGATAATGCCAATTTAATCGTGTGATAACATTCAAATCGGGTGTAATATTAGCCCCCTTTTTTTATTGGCTACAGAAAAAATATTGCTGTCTAGCTAACTTAAGTCTTTAATTTGCACTAAAAGCAGAATAATATGTTGAAAACTAACTAGTAAAATAGTATGTACTATCATCATGGCAAAGACAAAATAAATTAATTCTAAGAAATTTGTTATTAAAACTATTATTTTCAAAAATGTGTTGAAAATCAACCTCTCTGTTAAACAGCACTTGGGAGATGTTTGAAAAAGTTATTAAAATCTACAGGAGGGCTAATGATTTATATACAGAGAGTTCTACATCTGCGCCGAAACTTTTTAATGAACTTCTGTTTCCAAAACTTGCATTCAGCTCACATTCGGCTGAATTTCTTTTGCTTGAATCAACTTAATCTAATCGGCTTTCACTTTTTAACTCCAGCCAAACTCTTTAAGCAAAAGATCTCTTTCTACTGTTCATCTTCTCAGTCGGGCCCTGAACATTTCATCAAACTGTCCTCAGATGAATGCGAAACCTACAAGCACATTTCCCATAAGACAAACAGTACAAAGGCCTCATGTCTGATTATGCAATTACATTAAATGCCAGGCGATGATGACAGATGCGTGTTTGGATTGAACTCAGAAGACTCTGCTGTTGTAAAAGGATGTTGGAGGAACTGAACGAGGTATTTAGAGAAACATTTGGGGAATATTTCAACAAATACCTTTTTCTTTTTGGGGCCCTGTTCATTCACTGTGTAATATTTCAAGACAAGTCCCACACTCTTGGGGAATTCACTGCAAATGAACAGTGTCTGCTTAAAGGCTGTTTATTAGCAAATGCTATTTGTGTTGTTTTAGCACCTGATTCACTAAGGGGATTCTGTAAATCAGGCAAAAATCAGAGCTAAATTGCTTAATGCTATTTCCACAGAGCAATTCCCAATCTTGACAGGTTTAAATGGTTTGCTGTGGACTAAAATCTGATGTACTATGCTCACAGTAAACTGTAACGTATAATTGCTCAACGATGACTGATTAATGATGACATTAAAATACATTTATAATACCACAAATGACTAATTGATGTTTGATTGGTTGAATAACTGATTGATTGATTGATTGATTGATTGATTGATTAATTGATTGATTGATTGATTGATTGATTGATTGATTGATTGATTTTTGCAGCTTGTTCAAACTACTTAATTAAAATAAGTAAAAAAAACACAATTTTTGAGATTTTTTAGGGACAACCTAATTTTTTTATGTTTAATTCACTTAAATTTGTTAACTGATTTGACTGATTTGTTAAATTTTATAACGATTCACTGTAAAAAGAAATTGTTTGACTTTACTTTAAATAAGTGAGTAAACCGGCTGCTTTTAAAGCAATTAATTGACTTTACTTTAAAAACAAAGTAAACTCATTGCCTTAAATTTACAAAGTAAATTAACCATGTTCATAATCAAGTTAAGTCGAGCTTTGCTGTCATTCCGGTACATGTGTGGACATACAGAGGAAGAAAATGTTGTGTCTTGCAGGTTAACGGTGCTACATCAATTAATCATAAATACAAACACAACATTGGACATAAGAGCTACTTTAAGATACTTAACAGTACACATAAGACAGGCAATACATACAAGTATATTTTACATTAGACTGAACAATGTTGTACAGGACATTGTGCAAGAGAGGTATTAAAGGTTTAATATTGTGCAAAACCGTTCTTTAAGGTTAAAGCAAGCAACACAACATAATTGTGATAAAATTATTCTAACTTTTCCTTATTGAGTTCTTGTAAGATGGAGTTTAGATACAGTGTCAGGCGCATAACACAAAAGAGTGATTCTACAAGTGGTTTGTCAAGCCCACTCACCTGTATGAAACATAATTTGAAATGCACAATGTTTCCAAGCGACATGGAGACATGTCAGACATTTCCAAGAGACATAGAGACATTTCCCAGAGGAATATTTATAATAATTAAGTGAAATCAGTAGTTGCCAGCTATTACAGGTTTACTTACGTTTTTAAGTAAATTGAACTTGTCACTTTTAAGGCAATGGGTTTCCTCCTTTTACTAAAGTTAAGTAACTAATCACTTTTAACAGTGTTTGTGTCAGCTATTCTGTGAAATTTGCATTCTTTTTCAAATGTTATCAATTCAAGTAATGTTTAACAGAGAGCACCTTTCCTTCAGAGTTTTATATGTTTTCTTTTTTTTTTTTTTGGGGGGGGGGGGGGGGGGTGGATTAAAGCAGTTTTAAAATGTTTAAAAATATTTTTTCAAAAAAATACATTTTTTTTCAACTGGCTAGAACAAACCACCATTGTCCGATGACTTGCCTAATTGACTGAACTTGACTAGTTGAACTTATTAACCTTAAAAAAATGTAATTGTACTTTAAACTTAATTATGTTTTGCAAAATAACTAGTAAATATATAATATACTGTTTTAAAACACAATTCATATTGTATTAATATTTTTTAAATAATAATTATTAATATTTTTGTCGCTCAATTCTTAAGAAAGGTTTTAATTTATTATTATTATTATTATTATTATTATTATTATTATCATTATTATTATTATTATTATTATTATCAATTTAATTTAATACATCAATGTTTTCTAAGTTTTTTTAAGAACTAAGAGCCATTGCAGGGCCACTGTTTTCAGCAGACAAGCAGAGCTAGAAGTTTCACACACAGA